CCAATCAGCGTCCGGGTTACTAAGCATTTCGGTTCAAAAGAATTTCTGGTGTTTCGGTTTGCCGCCAGAAACTTGAACGCAGCGAACTTTTGGAAAACATACTGTAACACGATTAATGTCCAGTTGAAGAAGAACACGGGTAAACAGACATCTTGTACTGTAACAGCCAATCAGCGCCCGGGTCACGTAGCACAATGTTCTTTTTCTTAAAGAGACATGTCCTCACATGATTTACAATTTCTTTTGAATCTTACATTTGTCAAGTTTAATTTTCTTAACATTAAATTTTTTTTTTGAAAGGCCAGTTCAGCAGTCATGACTTCACTTTGAAAAAATACTGTTCAGCAGAAAACATCACCCAGAGGCACTGCAGCACGTCACGGCATTGATTTGAGTGAAATGTAGTCCGTCTGATTGGTGATTACAGAACAGTTGGAGGCTGAATGAAAGAAAACTACAAAATGATGGCGCCTGTCCAAATTATTATTATTTTTTTGTCATTAACTTTTTACATCCGCATGAGTTCTGTACATTGTCCACAATCGTGTGTAAAAAAATAAAAAAATAAAAAAAACTTGTGTAATATTTTGGACGTCCACAAACCGCGACTGAGCGAGTCCGCGAAGGCCGATCCACGAAGTAGCAAGGGACTACTGTACACAGAGTGTAGCATAATCATGACTGCTTTCACGCTGAAGGAGGTTTTCCAAATTTGAGTGATTCAGTCATGCTCTGATAGTGATAGTGTTAGTTAGGGACAATGTAGCAGAGTCCTCATCCAGTAAGAAGATGTATTTTCTCTAATATATATTTTACCAGATTAAACTGGAGTAGAAAGTCTTGCTAATAAGATTTTCTGCAATATTTGAACTCTGATCACGCAACACTCACAGCACACGAGTTACTCTATCTCTACCTAGAGGTAATGTTGATATAAAATCTAATACTTAAACTCCAAAGATGAGTAATGACTTTTGTTATTCATTCGGTTTGATTTAATGTTGTATTTTACATCTTTATCAGCATTGCTCAGTGTTCAGCACTGCTCTTATCAGTGTGTGATAGTGTTCGTACTGATCAGTTACTGTATGTCCCGGTTATTTTCAGAGGTGCCGTATAACGACACATCTTACAATACCACTGACCCCTACGGTGGTGAGTCTCCTCCTGTCGGACAGTCCTACTTCCTGTCAACCCTCGTTGCTAGTTTCCACCTTAATATAGCTGACACTGTAGCCTCCTAGCTCTGGAAAGCTTCACTTAACTCCTGTCTGCTTTCTACGTGTGAACTACTCTTTGCCCTGTTGCTAATAGTCCGAATGTTGCTAAATCCTCCTCACTACAGAGATCCATTTTTCTTTGTACGTTTTTCAGCATTTAACTCGTTCCACAATTTGTGTGATATTTCAGCAATTCAAATATCAAAATGTTCAGCTTATTCAGGAAATTCCTGCTGTGACTTTTAGTATTAATGCAATGTTGACTTATTGAAATATTTAGCTTTTTCTGACATGTTTTTCTAATTGAAAATGAATGGAGCTCTCCACATCCTTCATATCCTTTGAGTTCTTTACAGCCTTTTAGCTCTTGTTCTGGTTCAGCTTGTTTCTGCTCATTTCAGCTTCTTTCTACTAATTTTAGCTTTGCTGTTCTTTTTTCAGCTTTTCCTGCTAAAGTCAGTTATTTTCTGCCTTTTCAGCTATTTTTAAGTATTTTTCTTCAAATTTTCTGCAAAATTCTCTGCTATTCTGTGTGCTAATTTCCACCGTTTGTGCTTTTTTTAAATAATTTCAACTCTTTAATGCACCTTCCAGCCAGTTTGTGCTAATTGCAGCGTATTTTCTGCATATTTCATATTCTCTTTTATAATTTTACATTTTTTGACATCTGTTCAGCCTCTGCCTGTTTCAGCCTATTCTGCTTATTTCTGCAAAACTTTTTTCATGCTTTCGTAAAATCGCAGCTGTTCAAATTCTTCCTGCATTGGTTAGTGATGAAACATTTTCAGC